GGTATTATCCACAACTCCTTTTTTTTTTTTGGGTGAAATATTATCCACAACTCCTTCAGAAAGTTGCCCACAATGAAAACAAAAAAGTTGAGAAGGAACATAAAGTAGCTAGTGAAGTAGAAAGAAAAGATTGGATAAGCTTTCACACTGGGTCATGTAAACCAGAATGTTGGAATGGACTAATGATCAATTAGTTCAGTTAATCTAATGAGCAAGCCCAACCTAGTTCATCTGTCATCAAATTCAATTAGTTCAGTTAATCTCATGAGCAAGCCCAATCTTGAATGTTTCAGCACTTGTTTTCTCTAAGTAGTAACATATATGTTTTCAACAAACCACCCTTCTAAGAAGAACATAGCTAGATAGAAGCATCATTTGAGGATTTACGACAGGAAAAAAAATGCTCAGATATGGCAAAGCAGAAAAGGGGCGTAAAAAATGGAACTTGTTGCTTCCTTTTATGGGAGTTGTTTGACTATTTATGGGAGTTGTTATTAACCTGACCTAAACCCCCATTTTTATGTACATTTTACTATTTGTGGCAGTGGGAGGTGTTAATTACATGATCCTAGAAGTTTAATTCTTAAAACAGGGGATTAAAAAAAGGAAGGGCAATGTACCTTAATTAAGTATCTTCATAAGCTGAGCCTTGCCATGCCATCCATAGCACCATTGTATTGAAGAAACCAACCTATAGCTAGCTTAAAGCTCATAGCTATATGGCCTTAAGTAAACATAGTTGAAAATAACCAAATCTTGAAGAGAATAACCAAATCTGAACATATTGGAAAATGATGACTTGAGTAAACATCAGCACTGGTGTAGCAAACAATTCTTGAAATCCAAGCAACAATATCCTTATTCTTAATTAGCATATTTCTTCCTATCATTTCGTATTGATTGCGATCAAATTATTGTCAATTGCTACATTTGATGTTCAGGAGGAGATATAGCCTAGCATCATCATCTTCTCATATTCATGTAATTCATTTACAACAAAAACAGGAATTTGCTTTTCTCATCAAGGATTTGGCTTTGAAAGTAAAATTTCCAATTTAAGAATGTACGAGTTGTACAAAGGCTCCAAATAAACTGCATGTTTATTCAAAATTTTGGTTCAATCTAACAGAAGAATAATCAGATGGCGTATGTTCTGAGTTTGAGACAAGAAATATTGGAGTGTAAATTTGCAGAAACCGCAAACATAACAGAGTTAACTAGGAAGGAACCTAACACAAATTTGAACTAGCTCAGAATCCGAGAGCCAAAATTCATCAAAATAAGGACTTTACATTCAAATCAGCCAAAATTTACTCTCTTTTTTTTGGGGGGGTTTTGTTCACTATTATTTAATTGGAAACTATTCTCTTTGTTCAAGACTGCATTTTTCTATCGGTTACAGCTAATCTTAATGGCAGCTCTGGATATTCTTTCCGTAGATATTAGCAGCATGATGCACAGTACGTACCATATTACCAGTAGCTACCTATATGCAGGTTTTTCAGATACAAATTTCAAAGGGAGCTCCAATATATATAGTAGAAGTTGGAGAAGTCTCACTGAAGTAACAAACAATCATATTATTTCAGTTGAAACGATCGAGGATTTTGCAGAGATTAGGGGCTAAGGTTTTTGTGATAATGTCAATTCAAACTTTCTATTTCACGTTTCTTAATTACCACATCCTTATTTGGAGAAATTATAGAATAATCCACGTCACCTCGTGATACTCTCATTCAAAATTTGCCATGTGTCTAAGTTTTTACCAACTTATTGAACCCTTATTTTTATCTTTAAAATTAAAAAACAAGGAAGAAATAAAAAAAGCCAAGCAATCACCACCCGGAACGACGATGCCCCACCCCAACTGCCTTCCATGGAAATCTATCAGAAGATTTTAGACTTCTTGACCTTCGAAACTGTATGTTCTTGGCCTTGCAAGACCATAAAGGGTTCAATAGATCCCTTAAAACCATAAACTGTATCCTTATTTTTTTATATAATAATATAACACGTGGTAAATTTTGGATGGGAGTATCATGAGGTGACGTGGTGATACTGTCCTATGATTTCATTGATACTCTTTTTCATATGTTACTATCTTTTTTATTGCTTAATGATAATTAGTAATTTGATCATCATCAAGATTTGGACTTATGTTCCCACTGAATTATTTGGTTAGTATTAATAATTCATTATAGTATTAAAAAAAGAGATGGTGATGAGTTTTACTTGTAAATTTGCTATCATTATGTTCGGTTCTTTTTATAATACTTTCGTTGAAGATATTTTATAGGAGAGCCTATTGTTGTTTTGACACTGTCAAACTGAGAATCCTAGAGCGGCCATTATTTACATGAAATTATCCTCAAATTCGATCACATGTATAACAGAATCATATGCATGCATTGCAGACTAAGAGTTTCATGAAGTTTTCATCAGTAACCATTGAGTATATATATATAATGGCATCTTGCTTTGACAGAAGTGATAGTATATATATAATGGCATCTTTCTTCGAAGTCTTGTTCCAACATAATTCATATATAATAAATCTAAAACAATTGATAGCATGTATGATATATATAGTATACACTAGTCTCTCTCTCTCTCTCTCTCTCTCTCTACTTACTTTGATATATAATCGACATCAATTCCTAAGACAATATTAATCAAGCATGATACATGAAACCAAATCCAAACCAATACACGTACAGTGAAAAGAAAATTGAGCAAGAAAGAACATTAATAGAGGTAAACTATTCTCCATTTTGAAGCAATACAATGAAGTAATGAAATACTTAAATGATGTGGAATTATTGAGTAAACTAGTTGAACATGAACACACCTGATGGCTGATATGATATCCGCAAGTGAAGATATATAAATATAGGAACTTGGAAATGGTTGTGGCCGCCTAGCTAACTGCGTAAAGCAAAGCAACGCCAAGCCAAGCCCAAAGAGTTTGCATTGCAACCCTTTTTTATCTTGATGAAAGTTGAAAGTTGGAAATTTGAAGATACAGTAAGCCTAAAGGATGAAGGAAGGAGAGCACAGTAATCATTTGGAGCAGGTAGAGCTAATCAAGGCAGCTATGCTTCCACCAGGCACCCAGCTTCCTTCCACTGTCCACTCAAAGGACAAGATATAATTTATTCATACGTCAAGAAAGAAAGATTGAGGGGAAAGGAAACCCAACCCAACGCTACAAATCTGGAAAAGGAAGATTCACCAATAAATGTTAAAGCTAGCTAGCCCTCACCATCACCATCACCCTCACCCTCACCCTCACCCTCCCTGTAGCAGTTGTAGTTATTGTTGGATTTCCAAATCACAACTGCAGGCCTATCTCTCTATTTGTAGATTTTAGACTTTAGATTTTAGATTTTAGAGCAGCAAAGCAAAGCAAAGCAATGTTTCATATTATTAAATATTTGTTTAAATGGGTTTGTATAATTATTACCAACGTAAAGGTGAGTACCCAATAGTAACACTGACACAGAGAGAGGCTTTAAATATATTAATTAATTGGTATGGTCGTTTCGTTTACTTTGATATTTGTGAATATTTTATATATATATATATATATCTCTCTCTCTTTGTGTGACCTATTTGCAGAGTAGATAGATATAAATTATAATATACAGTATACTATGTATGTGTTTCGTCCGTCCGTCCGTCCGTCTGGGGGAGGAGAGGAGGAGAGGGCGAGGGCCCCTACTGTCTTGCATTGCATTGCTCTTCTTATTTGTTTATAATTATATATGGAAATGGAACAGACAGACAATTCAAACATGTTCAAGTCTCCCTCATGTGGACACTTGATTTGGTGATGATGACAAAAACCACAAAAGAAAATAAAAGAAGAAAAAATTATACCTTACGTCTTTCTTTCTTTCTTTCTTTCTGGTATATAATGTAGGGGTATGATATTTGCCTGCTGCTGAATATGCAAATGTGGCCTCTGTCTAACCACAACTTAACTTGGTGACGATGGAGCAGTGCATTTCTGCTTTTGCAGTAAAAATTGACCGACAGTTTCTTGTTGGGTGGGGATATATATATATATATATATATCGAAAGAAAGTAGAAAGAAAGCAATTGGTAGCTAGTGTTTGAATTTCCCTTTTAGTATAAATCATTTGTTTCAACCTTTATTTATTTATTTTTATTTAAATACAAACCAAGAGAAGGAATTCAAACACATAACCTCATACCACCTTAGCATTCATATTATATACTATACCCTAATTTATAATTATATATGAAAATGGTCCAGCTTGCTACAGCTGAACTACTTTTTTTTTTCCACGTACAAAAGCTTACAAATTACAATCATCAAACTTTACCTAGCCTAGGAGGATGCATGCATGTGGCCTGTGTGGGTGGTCATGGTTCAAGGAGCCAAGCGTAGCCAGAGCCAACGCACACAAGCCATGGATCTTCTAGGGGCCGTGGCCGTGGCCGTGGGTGGGGTGGGGGCCCTTTTCTTTTTTGACATTTTGCTTATTTCTTTCACCCTTTTGAATAAGATCAGTGAGTGCGAGATCGACAATAGAACAGAATAGTATCCTCAGCTCAGCTATCACTGAGTCCGAGTGCCATCCATTTTTTAGCTGCACAACCCTACTCTTCCCGTCTACAAACCCAAAGCTTTATCCCAACCCAAGACAACAGTAAAAGTAAAAATTTTAAAATGTCCCATTTTCCCAAGTTGAAATGAAATTCTTGTAAAATTTAAAATAAATTACCAACGGAGTCTGGAAAAAGATTTCACTTGAAGTAGCCTCAAGTTCGAACCTTAGTAGTATGTGTGTGCGTGATAGAACCCCTCCCCTTGCAATTTAGAGCATTGCTTGTATTAAAAATAATTAAAAATACATTGCCAGTGTAACACAATCGACAGCTTGAAATTTTTTAATAAAAAATATGTAGGCCATTTGTTAACATCCACGGTTGCTTTAAATGTTCAGATTCACAAAAATTCAAAGGTCGTCACGGACAAGAAAAGGCGGTATGTTTGGCACTGGTGAATGGCGATTGTTAAGAATCATCAAACAGTCGGGACTAACAATGTGCAAACACAAAAGCATTCATAAACTAATATTCTGTAGTGTCTGCTACTGTCTCTCACAATATCACTATACACCTAAACACACAATCCAAAATTTATATTTCTAAGTAGCAACCCTCGTTCAATTTGTGACAAGGGTACAAAACATTCATTACGGTTTGCTGTGTGTTCGGATTTTTGTTTTAATACGAAACCTGGGAGTAGCAGAAGTACCTTCTGATGCCTCAGGCCTGGTGGCTTCGACCCCTGTGATCACTAATTTGTTGGATCCACTGGGCTCAGCTGGTTTGAGTTGCACATTTGCCGACTTTATACCAGGTATCTCTTTCCTACTGTGTGGTAAGTCCGCTGAAGATACTTTTCCGGTCTCATTCAACAACTTTGCCATTTCCTTCTCCTTCTGTTTTTTCTCCTTCTTTAAGCGCTTCCGCTCCAGATACTCGGGATCATCTCGGTGCCCCTTGTCCCGCTTTCGTTTCTTTTCCTTGTCTTTCTTTTTCTCCTTTTCTTTCCCACGAGGAAGAGAATCCACCATGCCAAATGAACCACCGTTAACATCATTCCTAGGAACTGAAAGAGCTTGGAGACTTGCATACTTTTGGACATCTGCATCTTGGTTATCCTGGATATACCTAGGTGATGGATCTTCAGGCTGAGGCAGTGCAGAAACTTTGCTTGAATCAGCAGTGCACTGCAATTCCTTTCCTATATCATCACCGTCACTCGCAAGTTTTGCACTACCAATGCTGGCAGTCATCCGGGATCCAAGATCATGCCAAGAGTTAACTTCCTCAACATTTTGATTGCTAAGGCTCACAGTCTCTGGAAAATTTCTGTGAGGCGCATCCACAGATACTGAACTGCTTGGCCCATGATCAGTTTCAAGATGCCCACCTTGTGACCTCTCAGCAGTTTGATTATCACATTCTTCTGCTCTACTAGTAGTAGCAGATCTTTTGACCCTGATCTTAACAACTGGCAGCTTCCGTTTATGGCTGTTGGAAATGGTATCTGCTTCCTTGAAAGGTTCGAGAACTGCCAAGCCATCCTTGAAAGGTTCTGAAACCACTAAGCCATCCTTGGAAGGTTCTGGAGCACCGAAACTACCAATTGAAGGTTCTGGTGCACCAAAACTACCAATGGAAGGTTCTGGAGCAACCAAAACACCACCGGAAGGTTCTGGAGCAACCAAACCACCACCGGTAGGTTTTGGAGCAACCAAACAAACACTGGAAGGCTGTGGATCACCCAAACCACCACCGGAGGGTTCTGGAGCATCTAAACCATCATTTGTAGGTTCGGGAACACCCAAATCATCTTTAGAAGCTCCTGGAAAGGCAAACCCATCCCTGGAAGTTTCTGGAGCTGGAACAGATAACCCATTCATGGAAATTTCTGGAGCAGGCAGTCCATCTCTAGAAGTTTCAAGGACAGTCAAATCATCACGGGAATGGTTTGGGGCTTCAGAAGGTGGTTCCAAAAATTTACTTTCTGGAATGAAAGTAGCAAAGATATTTTTCTGCTCGTGGAAGCTTTCCGCAGCCCCTAGATGAAATGGTTTATGATCTCTGGGTACTCCATATAGTGTTGGGGCCCTGAAAATGGAGCACGGTTCAAATACAATTAATAAAAAGCATTCGCAAATATCAGTTTTTAATAAACAAATGAACTCCATATATAGAAAAAGAAAAAAAACCAAATAATGTTTTTCATCTTGATAAGTCATCACAACCAAAGTGTAAACGTTTATTATATGTAAAACAGTAAAAACAATAAATAGGGGAAACAGGTGCTCACCTTCCTGCAAGGATTTGTAGGATGCAGAATAAGTGATGACGAAGAAAGATATTATTAAAAGCCATCCGGCCTTCAAGTAGGCAAAGCAAAGCCACAAGAGTTTGGCTCCTAATGTTGTCATTAAAATCAGATCCACCTCTAATCTGGCATAATCTCATAGCATGCACAGCCAATTTCACCTGCCCTGGAATCAAGGAATATAATAGAATGACGGAAACACACACCTGGAATAAATATTCTTGAGGGTAAAAAAGGGCCTAAGAAAGACAGTTTTTCAACTGAAAGTATTGACAAGAACCTCTGAAGGATGTCTCTTCATCTAAATATTTGATAAACAGTTCCAAAGCCGCGTCAATGCCTTTGCAGTGGAACTCAAGATCAAGGAGTGCTCTGCTTGCTTCAACCCGAACTTGCCATATTGCCTTGCTATCCCGAAAAGGTTTTACAAGTTCAAATACGCGATCCTGCAGCAAGTCCCAAGTGCTACATGAAGTCCCAAACACTACATATAAATACAAGAAATTTGAACAGCAATGAACAGATGAGAAATTATTCACCAGAGGAATAAATCCCAAGAGTTTTAAGGCAATCTGTGTCAGGGACCTAATACAGCTGACTGACAAGATACCATTGTAGCTAGGCATCAACCTGGTACATGCCATTTCCAAAGACATGAAATCAATTATAGTTATTATTTGATATAATCCACTGTATTCAGTGTGAAATGAGTTAATGCACCTGTCAAATTGCAAAATCCGATCAATGCGCTTCAGAAGAGATGATAAAAAGAGAATACTCTGCCACAGAGTAAAGATAACACCAGAGCACAGTAAGATCCTCAAATAGAATATAGGGCATAGAAGGAAAATGTGATGCAGCACGCACCAAGGGCATAATTTTCTTTTTCACAGTATTGTAACTTTCATATTTGAAGATTTAAGGATTTTTACATGTGGGACCCATATCAAATATTGCATGGCATGTTTTGTTTCAAAGGTTATGCCCTAATCTAGTCCAATACCAATACAGAAGTGCATATTTATAATGTAGTCCACCAAAACATGTGCATATTGTATAATCTAGTCCTGCATGCTTGTAAGGTAAACCAGAACACTGTTCATCGTGAAAGATAACACTTTCACACATGGTAGCTTCAACAGAATCACTGAGCATTATCATATAAAACAAACCTGTTGCCCAAATTCAAGTTCTCCAACAGACTCAATTAATGCAGCAAGCCAGAAGACATCAGAGTAAGGGTTCCCATTGTTGTCATTGTACTGTGACAATTGAAGACAAAGCAAACCATCAAAAAATTGATGTTCAGAGAGTGCGGCACTGGGGGTAGTTCAAATAAAATAAAATAGAATCCAGATTGTTTACTGACATGGTCATGCATGGCACAGAAGAAGCAAGACAAAGGATTGTGTTCTCGAGTTTAGAAAATCCTATCTGTAGGACCCAAATCTAGGAATCTATGATGTGCTCTTCCAAAACTTACGAGACTTTCTTTTCCCCTTGCAGTACATAACTCCAAAATCTTATCCTATCCAATACTGATCTCCTTTTTTTTCCTTGGCCAACTCAATCAGATTGGTAATATGGGCTTCTAAGGTGGTCTATTTCTCTAAGGCAATTTCAAAAGAAATCAAGAACTTTGATGAGAGAAAATTGTTCCAAGCATATTGGGGGCTAGGTTTTAGGTAAGAGAGAGAGAGAGAGAGAGAGAGAGAGAGAGAGAGAGCCACTAAGTCTCCAGTTTCCATACTGAAATTTCTAGCCCTCTGCATGGGTGTAGGTCAAAAGGTTTAGCCAAGTAACTGTTTTGTTTCACAGTCTGGTTCCATTCAAATTATTGTACGGTTGTACCCAATCAACCCTAATTTGGATTCGAATAACAACAAAAATGGTATTTTACTGACCATTGGCCAACCATTATGACCATAATTTTTTTGTTCATGCTATATGAGAAATGGCCAAGACAATAACTACCTTCAAAAGTTGTAAAACAAACTCCACAGCCTCTCTTGGGCTTTTCTTGTCTGCAGCTCTCACCATAGCTATAGCATGTGGAATGACCTGCAAGTTAGAGAAAAAAAGAGCTACATTATTAGATCAAGAACTTTACATTATTAGATCAAGAACTTTACAGAACATATACTTCTTCCAGGTGGTCCTTGAGAGGAGACATACATTACTATCAATAATGATGATGATAGAAAAAGCATGTATCCAATTCATTGCTTCCAATGTCAAAAACATAAATGACACTTGTTGAATGAGTGTTCTGGACAGCTAATTCAGAACTAACATGTATACAGTAGCAGTACTGTACGTCTATGTCAGAAAAAAGAAAACATATAAGTTGATGTGATGTATCTATGTTGATGGGTCATAAAGGCACATAAAATGAAATTGCTTTAGTGTTTTGTGTTAACTAAAGGAATGGCTACCAACTGATTCATTTTATTGCTAATTCTTTGAAACAGGTGATACATAAGTGTTTTGTGTTAACTAAAGGAATGGCTACCAACAATGACACATCACAAACAACTTATTACATATCCTACCTCGTTGCATTACCTCAAGAACAAAGTACTCAGAAATATCATGAAAGTCATTTGGCCTGGAAATAATAACAAGAAACAAAACTTTGTTAATTGGTATTTTTGAAGTAAGCTCTCCACCATTTGAAGTCCAAACTACACATTTACAAAGAACGTACTTGGGGAGTCCAATGTTCGCATCAAACCTTCGACTTTTATAAAATTTCACTAAATGGAGTAGACCAGCCCAATCAGTATCCTGCAAGACAATCGGATGTCAATAGCAAAAATTGGCATCTCAAGATACAGAAATAAACAATGAATAGAGCATTCCAATCTGACTGTACAAGCTAGGGTTGAAAAAATACCAAGACCACCAATCCAAGGACTCAATTTGAAATACCCTTCCATAAGATACTCTTTCTTTTTCATTGTTAAGGAAACCCGATTATCATAACCAAACAAAATTTGCAATTATAGGTGATAGAAGAACTAGAAGTTCAATTAGATTTTAAACAAGCAATGTGACGAAAATAATAATAATTAGCAGTACTCTAGATTACTAAGTTATGAAGCTTGCTGAATCGCCTCACTAGAAAGTATCAGATAGTGTTTCTCTGTTAAGAACTTTTAAAAAAAATGGTAAATCTGTGAAGAACACCAGATACAAATAACTAAAAGTAAAGGGTTAGATATTTACATGAACCTATTTCAAGATTTTAACAATGAAGATCACAACTCAAGTAAATCACGGACTCCAAGCATAATAGATAACACTATAATGTATAACAGTTTTAACACAAATGATAATAATATTACCTCAGATGCTGTATTTGCCAATGCAAATGCAGCCTCAATTCGAACTCTCCAAAAGGCCTTGAAACCAAAGAATAAAACTTCAGAAATTTACACTCCTCGATACACATAATTCCACAACAAGTATAACTCTGAAAGTGACTAAAACCTTGGAGTCAATGAGGAAATTATTGAGAGCATTAACAACAGAAAAGGGAAGCTGCGGTAAGGACTCCAGTGTTGAAATTGCTTGTGCCTGAGCAACAACATCTTTGTCCTTCTCCAACTGATTAATCTGATATGGCATACCAACACTAAAAATAGTCAAGGACTAAAGAACTTATTTACCATAGCAGAGAGAAAATCCAATCGTAAAAGTACCCCAGTAAATAACCGATATATTAAAAACTCCACGAAAGCATATAGAATGACCATAATCTCATTCTTACCCACATCTGTACAGGTTGATTGAAATGAATTTCAGCAAGATATTCCATTTCTGGGTCTGCCCTCATCCACAACAACGGTGATTCCATACTACCAAAAGAAAATTTTCAACATGCTGGAAATACCAAATAGACATTCATCCAAGAATAAACTGTCAAACCGCATTTAATGTTATACCTGGAACGCATATCTAGAGCCGGAGCACCATCCCCATTATCATCAGCCCCATCTAGTTTTGAACCCTTTTTAGGCTTTTGAAAGCGTCTAGCAGCAAGCTTTGAATGGCATTGTATTTCCAGCAGCTGCCATATTTCTCCAGCCATTGGCAGAACTGGATGATCAAATGTACCATCAAGTTCATGAGCCCTGATACTCATCATTCCAGGCCATCCATTGTCACCATCTCGCTTTTCAGATTCTGGATTTGCATTAACAACAGAGGCACTTGAATCCGACAAGCCTGTGCACCCACGTAAAACTGCCAATTCAACCATATTCTTCCGCTTGTTATAGGAGAAGCCCATCCTTTCAATTTTAGTGCCAATGAAAGAACAGCATATTAGTTACTGAATCTGTAAAAGAGATCCAGCACGAACAAAAGGAGTAACATGTAGCAGACGCACGATACCTCAAGACTGGGCAACCACACAATTCTACCCATCGAGGAAAAAATTCTTTAAGAAATGGACGCTCAAGATTACCAACCTTATTAGCAAAATGCCTAAACTGCACGACACAAGATATGGTATAAGACTAGAGAAGAGTTAATGAACTCTCTATAACTGAAATAAACTTCGCATAATAAACAGAAGCCATTGCGGCCAATAGTTTTAGTCCAACAATATGTCAAAATAGATGTTCATACCTCCTTCGTACTAAGGGATCTCAAAGGACGGGTCTTATCTTGAGCCCTCAAAACTATTGTCTGCAAAATCTGTACACCAGAGGAGAACAAAACCACAAACCGTATGGTATCAGCTGGCAAGAATTTAACAACTATGATCAATTCATATTTACACCTCCATGAGTTGCATGCAACAAACCAACAAAATTAGATTAGGGAACTGTAACTTAGCATAGTGTAACCTCTGTTGAAAAAGGACTAGTACAAAGAAAACAGAGCTTAAAAGTTGGTCCCCCTTCAATTTGCAAAGTCATTAATTGAGTTCTAGGAACTCCCTACTATTAAGTATTTTCATAAAATAATTCCACACAAAACATACTAAAAACTCTCTCACGCAATCCCCTTCCTCCAGTTCCTACCATTCCTTCAGATCACATCCTGTCCATGACTGAACTATATATTTTTTCAATGTTTCCTAAACAGTAAATTACATGGACTCTAGCATTGAGGTCAGATATGGTCATAAGGATACATGTTTGATAACTCACAAGAAATTCAAGTTTTAGGATTACAGGAAAGAAACCAAAATGGGGTATGATTCTGAGACCATGGCTTCAACAAAGTAGAAAGAAAACTTCAATGGCCCCAAAGAAACATCTTTATGAGAAATGCTAGCTACCTTCCCTATTGCCTTCCCTTGCCCTTCACATTCACTTTATGTCACGTGTATTCCACCCACACATAAATCTATGTATTTAATGTGTTCAAATACTTTTTATTCTCTTTACAGGTATAATATTAGTATTTTGCATTAAATACATAGAATTATGTGTGAGTGGAATACATGTGGCATAAATTGAATGGGGAAGGCCAGAAGGAGAAGGTAAGAAGGAAGGTAGCTAGCACTCCTATATAATGTAACATCCCAAAGCACAAATATTTTCAGCCCAAATAAAAGCTGTGACTTGGTCAAATTAATCAGCCATTATGACTTGGGTCTGAATAAGGGGCCAATAACAGAGTCATAGAGGCTTTTGACCAAATTTACCAAATATAAATATATAAAAAACAAACTAAGGAAAATCTGCTAACAGAAAACACAAGTCTACGGGCCAATAACAGAGTCATAGAGGCTTTGAACAAATTTACCAAATATTAAAAAAAAAATTAACAAGCTATGGAAAAGCAGCTAACAGAAAACATCTTAATTGATAATATTCGGTAATGTTAGGTCTCAATAAATAAGGTGAAAGAAAAAGCATGACGAAACAGAAGAAATCAGTGAAAGCGACAAACTAACTCAATTCAATCTAAATTTCTTACTTATCAGAACGGTTCATAATAGAGCAACAATTTCCTAGGATTCTTACTTTACGGAAAGACTCAGGTCCCATCTGCTTTTCCAACATTTGAAGGATTGCCACCTTTGTAACAAGTTCACTCAGTCAATAGGTGAAGATGGAGAAAAAGTGAACATATTGATATTCCATAGTAAAAAACAAAACATTCAACATGAACTCACAGATTTCCATGACCTAATTTTGCTGTATATTCCAATGCATTGAGTTCCATACAAATCCTTACAAGAAGCAGCAGAGCTTAAAGCAGTTGCACCACTATCATCTGCTTTGCAAACAGTACAATTTGCCTGCAATTTCAGAGGGGGAAGGAAAACATTGTCAACAAGAATTCAAGTATAAGAAAATGCAACTTACGGTATAGTTTTTACCTTCTTTTGCCCAAGGGAAGACAAAGACAGAACAAACTAGAAGTAGGAGAGTGAAAGAGTAATGATAAGTAGAAGAGATACTTTTTAGAAGACAAGAAATCATGAAAAAGATTTCCTTGATACAAGCCCAAAGGACAAGGGTTACAATACTCAGCTAAGAAATCAGAGTCTCTATAATGATCAAGACTTCATCCGTTAAATTCAATGATTCCTCATTACCCATTCTACAATATATATCACTTATTTGCACAGCACAATATATTAACTATTAAGTATGTGGTTCATGCACGTTCTTGTGAGAAAGCAAACCTTATATCTTCGATAGCGTGCCTCATTATTTCCCAAATATTTTTTGATAAACAAATCTGTCAAAAACCCAGCAAGACCATCCAGCAGCCACTCTGACAATATGAGTTAAGCAACCATATCAGAGACAATGGATTTTCCCAACCAAAAAAAAAAAAACTTAATAGAACTATTCAGTACCAATGATCTAAATTCATAATAAATATTACAAGCCATCACACACTACTAGCTTACCATCATTAGGTGCCTCGGGGGTGATATAGACACCAAACCATTGTCTTGCCAGGGCAAACGCAAGTTTAATCCTTGTGTCAATGGTCTGTTGTGAAAAGGTATACACACATCAGTTTAATAGGAATAGAGGTGGCAAGTGACAGGAATAGAAGACTTATTTTCTTGATACATGAAAAATACGAAAGACATGCACTCTTTTGAAGCTCATGGCAAAACTGCAACGACAAAAGCTTATCCTTTCATTATCATGAATATACCTCTTATAGCATAATACAGGACAAAGGAAGAGTCAGAGAGGAAGATTCAGAGAGGACTTCATTTTTTCAAATAGTGACAAACAAAGAAGACATGCATTATTCTTTCATGTCAAAACTACAACGAAGAAGCTTATCCATTAAAATCATTAACATGCTATATCGTCAATAAAAACCACAATCTTATTGGGAAAAATGGGAGGAAAGGCATTTTAACCACAAAGAAACACTTTAAATATAGAGTGGTCAGAATATCTGAAAAGTATCTTTATTGTTGTCTAACCCCTCTGTCTTAAAAGCGGAGAGGTGAATAGCAAGACTTTCTATAATTTTAGCATTCTTAGTATGAATACATCTTGCTAAAGGTAGCTTTATGTTCGGGTATTCATTGCCTGTTACATTTATCAAACCTCCACAATGGATGCTAGACCTATATGCAAGCAAATCTTGCTTCAATGTGAAATCAATTCATCATATGTATGATACATGAAATTCATCCAGACCAGAACTGAACTCATAGAAAATATGGGGAAAAACCAAACCTGATCAATGATCTTCTCATCAAACAAAACTTGAGAACTGAAAATGCTCATGGAGGCCCCCGAACATATTGATGATACTGCCATCTCAGGCTCAATAAAAACTTGCTTGTATGACCCAAAAGGAAAGTTTATCGAAAGGTAATCCTTATAACAGCTGTGGAGTAAAAACTTAATATTAAGAGAATGATGTCTGATGTAAAACATGAAGAAACACATCATGAAACTAAACAGACAAAGTTATATGACTAGGAAGACAAACCTAAATGCACCATGAAAAAACTCTACAGTATTCCGAAGCTTTGACATATTAGCTGGCAAGCACATGTGAGATATTAGACCAAGTTGGTGATCAGGAAGGATTTCAAAAGGTGCAACCACCAAAGATATCCACCGAGCACTAACTGGAACATCTAATCTATAAACATATGTTTTGCGAGGAGGATCATCCTTGCTCAAAACCTGCAAAGAATTCGTTAAACATAGTTACAACATTAACAAACGTTAAACACACATCTGATACAGTAATACTAGATATGGTCATTGACTGGCGAAATACACCTATTTAACAAAAAACTGCACATAGAATGTAAGTCAGTTAATTTGATATCAAGATAGGAACAACAACCCAAGCATCAATACCCTAGACGTAATTGTAATTATCCAATTACATCCATAATTGTTGCAACCTATATTTGCATTATGATGTATCTCACACTACCACTGTCTCCAATAGATACTCAAGATTACGCCGCAACGCTTGGTTCTATATCAAATTGTTCAGTTTCCTCTATATAGATATTATATACATATAAACCTTGATTCTCAAGTTGGAAATTTAAGCCAAATTTCACAGGCTCTCCAGAAGATCGACTTTTGTATCAGTATCTAGTCCATCTGCATGAGGATCACATGGGCAGTGGTCTTCAATAGAATAAGGGTTAGTTCAATCTATCAATATCCTTGTCACATACCATACCAGCAAAAGCAGAATTTTCATGTAGAAAGGCTACCATATGACAGAACTCCAGATCCTAAGAAATTTATTGCTAAATTCATGAATTTCACATTGGCCAAACCAAGAGGGAACACCAAATATCTCGTGCCACAGAAAACACCCCAAACAAATATCATAATAATGACTATGAGTCCTAAGACCTTTAGCTCGTTGTCAAATAGCAGACTAGACCTATTAAAATTGGCACGATTCCTCTCAATCAAGAAGCTCGATTGATACTTCCATTAGTTAATTGTCATCTTGCTATATGCATAAAAAAAAAAAAATTGAGAATCAAACAACTGTTACAACTTCATGGTTCCTATATAAAAAATAGGATTAACTACAGTTTACTCCCTGCAGGTTAGGGTCATTATCGAAATGGGCACCGACGTTTCAATTTCATCAATTTGAAACCCAACGTTTTTAAATATGACTAAATTATGCACCCTGTCAACTTCACCATTTGATTCTGTAAAATTGTTATCGAATTACACACACCATTGTCAATTTCTTCGTTGTTTTCTTTTACACATCAGCATAAAAGTGACTATCCTACCTGCCATGTCACCAAGTTAACAGATAATCAAACGGTGAAGTTGATGGAGTGCATAATTTGGTCAGATTTAAAAACGTTGGGTTTCTTTTTTTGATAAAAAAAACATCGGGATTCATATTGATGAAATTGAAACCTCAGGGCCCATTTCGATAATGACCATAAACCTGAAGGGAGTAAAACGTAGTTAATCCTAAAAAATAAGAATATAAACGGTGAAGGGACAAAAAAAAACCTACATGCTGGTTTACAATTTGCTAATTCATTACAAGCGAACCAACGATCATGTAATATCAATTGTAAAAGAGAGACTAGGATTGTTCATATATGAAAATATTGTAAATGCTGACTAGATAAGAAAATTATCAAGATACTTAAAGTGAAGGAACGTAAAACAAATATGTTTTCTTTTCTATCTTGTCATTTACATGGATCCAGGAAGGCAACAGTCTCAATTGCCTATGTACTGCCTTTTTTTTTCTAAGGAAGCACTGTTCCTGGTATCCAGGATTTACACACCTTATCCTTTTTCAAGGAACTACTAGCTGTGTACTCCAGTATACTCAGCCCTCATCAGCCTAGAAGTGCAGCCATTTGCAATGGTTGCTTTTTTCGCACTCAAAAGCAAGATAAACTTTCCACACTACGTATGTACTGCCCTTAATAATTGTCCAACCACCAACGTTAAAGTTCCACTCAACAGAGTATCGATCCAATAGATGCCTGCGGTGAGCGTGGATCGAACACGCGACCTCAGATCTTCAGTCTGATGCTCTCCCAACTGAGCTATCCCCGCAAATAATGCACCAACGAGGAATCGAACCCCGGTTTATATCGTGTCAAGGCAAAAATCACACAAAGGGGTTAAGAATTTACTGAATTACTCTCTTCTTTTCATGACAATTTTCCTTACATCTTTTATCAAAAGTATCTATTTCTACTGATCTTTCTCTATTGTTTGCTAACCACTGTTTTAAGGGGTTGTCAGCAAGAAAATTAGAATACACACCCATTGGAATCAATTTTTTGAAAAATTGGAATCAATTTTTTGAAAAATTGGAATCAATTAGTTAGGTGCAACCCAGCAGATCACAGATTATACCTATTATATTTAGATTTTATACTGCTATACTTTGTTGTGCAATTCCACTTTGCACACTGGTTATTTGATTCATCAAACGCATGTGCACTTTTTCATGGCAAATACACATTAAGATGGCACTTGAACATGAAAAGACATGTTCTATCATTCATCTCACCTGGTATAGTAAGCTTCCAGTGCTAACAGCCACAAGATTTTGTGCAACAGTAAACTCCAGATCATAGCTGAACATGTAATAATCAAATGAATATACCGAAGGTTGTGAATATGCAAAACTACCAAAAGAAGGGCAAAATTAGACAATTAGTACCAGCAAATCTGTGAACTTTCATCCATACAAGGGAACCAGCATCGTGCACGCCGTATCTGGTTATCAGTATGTAGAACAGTATCATGAAAGTGAATTCCTGTCTCTGCTTTCTCTACCCAATAATCAATACGAACCAACCGCACATTCTGCACCAACACCAACCTATATGAGAAACCATAAAAAAAAAAACCATTCGCCATCTATGAAGCTATGAACCCTCACCGCGAAACTTCTAAAGAAGCGCAGGGCAACCCAAAAACTGAACTATATGCAAGTTTTTTTCACCATCCTAACCATTTACATCAAGCCAGAACATTGAAAACCCACATCAACAATTTTAAACTCACAAACCAGAACCACAACTATATATCATAACCTGCTTGGCTTCCCCAGATGAATGTTGCACCTCATTATCCACAACCAGTTGCTCCTGCAGTTCGCTTCCGGCCTTGAATGCCTTACAACAATTGATCAGTAAATTCGGGACCAATTCTCTCTCAAGAGCCGATATATAAGTGGAACCTGCCGCATCGGCAGCAGAGCTCGGAGACGTAACCCAACTCCATCTCTTCTCGCTTTCCGCATCTTTATGATTACTATGCGGGTAGTACTCAAACTCAGTCTGCTCGCCGTCGACTGAAACACTCTCAATCCCCAGGTTTTCTGCGTGTAACCCTACAATCCCAATTTCTGGGACGGAAATCTTCAACTCCGTGTACCTACAAACCCAACAAAAACAAACAACAAAATTAAGCAACATTAAGACCAACCATCCAAAATTATAACAATTTTTGGTTCCTCGAGCTCCCTAGTTACATTTCAACTAGAAAAGAACTCAATTGAATCCTTTCACGAATATTGAAAGCACCAAGTTTGAATTCGCTCGAGACAGATAAAAAGACACCAAGAAAACCGTGAATAGTTGTCCATGTGTGTGGCAGTGAGAGCTGACACGAACCCATAAATGCGACGCTTATCGATGTCGACGGAGAGGCAGAGCTTCTGATGACGAACGACTGGCCCGGAGTTGTCGGGCTTGGCGTCCTCATTCTTGGGCTTGCGAGGCTTCGCCATGGTCGTACGGAGCCTAACGAGAGAAAGAGAGATCGAAGAGCAAGCTCGCGAGCTCACTAGCTTTGTATCTTCTATCTTGAATCTGTTTTCGCTGAAAGAGAAAAATGAAACGAGGGTTTTATTTATAAGACGCACTCACGGATGCACGGACTCACGGACTCACGGCCTTCTCTCTGGTTAGGTTACTCTCTTACCTATTCGGTGACGACCGTAGCGCTATGCTTCTCATCTTGACCGTCCACTTGTTGAAGATACTGATCTACGGTGGATGGAAGATCTTTCCTGGAGTTGACCGTTGGACAACAATGCTCTTCTTTCTTTCTTTTTTTTCTGTAGAAAAAACCGTAGCACTATCCTTTTCATCTTGACCGGTCCTTGTGTTGAAGATACTGATCTACTGTGGATTGAACGTTGGACAACAAAACTTTCTCCGAATTGACATTTTGATCAACCTCATTGTACTTAATCTTTCGAAGGATCACCCGTCGACTTCCTTGAACCTTTCATCTCTCCCATCAAAGTTCCACGATACAAAGAGCCGACCGCCGGCCCGTGGAAATACATGGGTTCTTTCTTCTTTTTTCTTTAATAAAAAATTTGCATTGCTTCACTTCACATTGATTTTTATTTTTTTTACAAATAATTTTCAAACTACTAAAAATTCAGAATTAGACATCAAATCAACCCCCAACCAAGAAAAGATTTTTTAAACTAATTAGACAGAAACAAAAGCCATAATTCAAGACACCCTAGATCAGAACAAAGCAAACGATTTTATGGAGAAGAAAGAATAACACACCCAGAGGAAATGCATAATTAGATTAAGAAAATGTAAAATCCCTGATACACCCACCAGCTGCAAATGCTGAGCAGAACAAATGGGTCTTGGTTGAAGAGAAATTCAATATATTTCGAAGAACAACAACAAAGGATTTCGTGGAATAAAAAAGTAAGGTAAGGTAACTGTACAAAAAGTTCCCATCTGTTGAATAAAAAAGTTAGTGGATAAGGAAGGGGAAAAAAAAAGTATTCTGCTGCCGCATAATAACTAGAGATTCAAATACATATATATAACTAATATGATGTTGTGTGTAAAAAATCCCACAAATACTATAATATAATATGATGTTGCAGTTACCATTTCCTCTGAAAAATTTTACATTCAGAAGAGTCGAGCCAAAACAAGTCAACAGAGGCAAATTAAAATGACCTAGACTAGATTATAGGAAATTTTTTCTTCTAGGTGGTGGTGGCTCTCCGAGGCTTCTGAATTCGCATATTTGAGGTGCAAATTCTCCTATAATTTCTTATTTCAAGCTGCCTGGCGGCTATTTCTTCCAGCTTCTTGGTGGCTATTCCCTGCTTGGCTTCTTCTTTCTGTAAAACCCAATTATATTAACAAAAAAACTAAACTCAAAGGCTAATAAAAACACTTATAGACATGCAAACAATTTAGTCTCTTGATCCACACAGTCATTCAATAAATACAAAGATTTCATGTAAGCACATTTTTTTCACCTTTGCCATTGTCGTGCAATTCCCCCCAACCAGATTAGAATTCTCATCTATAGTGCATTCTTGTTTATCCGAAGTGGGTTCATAATCTCCAAAATCACTGAGTCATAAAAATGAGAAACCTTGTTACATAAAAAAAAGTAACAAAACTCCAACACACCATATTAATGTTATTGATGAAAACATAAGAAATGTGAAGGAAACTTACGGTGTAAAGCAGAAAACAAGCCAGAACCAATCAAGGTCCTTGATATCCACGGAATGAACAGTTGAATTTATGGTCTTGATCATATCTCTTCCCCCATCTCCAACAACAACTTGAAATGTGGTGATACAAAGAAATTGAACCTCGATATTTACATCGCAACAACCAGTCTTGACATGGAAAAAGTCCAGGTTCCCCAAATGAACTAAATACTCTGTCTTATAGTCACAAAATGGCCATGGTGGACTCGCAATCTCCAGGCCTCGCAATACAAACATTTTTCTTAGGGAGTATGCAATAATATCGTCATTACCTTTGTCCATACTAAAAGAGAATCCTATAAACTCATCCCCATGTAAGGCACATATAGTCTTGCCGACAACCACGGCCCTCCCGTGGAAAGGAGCATAACGAATAGAAGTGTCAACTTGCACTCGATTCCATCGCTTTCTACTCTCATGAAAAGCAACGACATCGAAATTATTTTCTTTCCACCCGCACAATGAAAACAAAATAACGCCATAACAAACGGCATAACCAGTTATATCCATATAGGTGTCATAATGTCTGTAAAATGGAAAAGAAGGCATTTCCTCCCAAATATTCTGATCAGGATCATATCTCTCAAATGAGGGCTCCGAACTTAGTGGGAAGCATGATGGACTTGCAACACAATAAATCTTGTCATACGCAGACACAACAGTTGCTATTGATTTAGGAGCTAGGGTAGGAGGAATAGATGACTGTGTTAACCTATTATTGTTGGTGTCAATAATATATCCACCTTCCTGCATAAGAAGGTATAATTTGGAGCGGTTGAAATTCCGTGCAGCTTGAATGCATATACCCTCACAGAACTTGGCAACAAGTCCAACTACTGGGGGTTCATGAGTGACTCCTGCTCCGTGTTTGAATTTCACTTCATAGATTGCATTAGAGTATTCGCGCCCATAAGAAGACACCAATAAATATACAGATCTAGTTGATGCATGCTCCCAATCCACAGGCAAGCTGCTGGACAGAGAAGAGAGATATGTACAACATTCAAATCAAGTTAATCTTTTCAAACACCTACCACCTACGTACCTTAGAGTAAATTAATCTTTTCAAGCTGGACAGGCAAGCTACAGCATCTACTTTAGTAAGCACATATACATATATAGGCGTAAATACAAACAAAACAGTAAGAATGCATGCATGCATCAATAATTTCCTACGAACTGCGAATGAAAGTGTAGGAGTAGATAATTTATCTGGTAGAAGCTGTTTATTTTTCCATGCAAGAATCTTTGAATAATTAAAGATGCATAACTTAAGCAAAATTCTCCGAGAAACTAAACAAAAATAAAATTGATCGAAAAACTTGAATAAGAAAAATGCGAACCAAGAACATCAACATTTGTACGGAGAAACAACAATTAAAAAAGATAAAATCACTAAGCAATGCACTGACCTTGGATAAAGATTAACAGCCTCATGGTTGAGACTGCCGTCAATCACCGTGGAAATTGGAATGGCCGACGTTACGTGTGGGATGGGGAGTAGTAAGCAAAGCTCCTCCGTTATTGATTTTGTCAAATCAAACAGTTGGCCCAGAGATTCCTCCATCTCCGGTATCTTGCCCAGAGATTTCTCCATCTCCCATATCTTGCCCAGAGATTTCTTCATCTCCCATATCTTGCCCACAGATTTCTCCATCTGCGATATCTTGCCCACAGATTTCTCCATCTCCGATATCTTGCCCAGCAGATCATCTTGGCGTGAAGCCACATGGTCTTGGCCCGAGGTGAGCTTAGCGGCGGTGGAAGGTTGAGACATGGTACCGGATGATAGGGCCTCTGCTATTGAAAAAATTCCAAATTGAGGCTGGGGGGTAAAGGGAATATATGAGGGTTTGGGAATGCCGCGGCCGTTCAAAATTCTAGAAATAAAGATAGAAGAGCAGATGCTTTGTAAAGTCTGAATTGCACAGAGCATGTATTTATATAGTGAACTAATTAATCTTGCTAGACACGGGAAACTCTCTTTTTATATTTTTTTATAGGAAGAAACAGGAAACCTATTATTATTGTATCTTTCTTATTTTTGGAAGGTATAAACAGGAAAATTTTATTTATATATATATTTATTAGGAAGAAAGAAACAGGAAACTTTCGCATCAAACAAAAACAAAACAAAACAGTAAACTTTTTCGTTTCTTTTTGGAATGAAGAAACAGCAAACTAACAAATAATATAGGAAGCATGAAAAAGACTTTCCCGCATAACGTAAAACGCCCTTTCATGATGTTATGCTGCTTCCCAGTTTATTTTTTTTTGGCCTCATCTCATGTTACCCTTTTTATGATTTTTGGGTTTGTTGTTACTCGTTTTATGAGATTCGGTTTTGGCTTTTGGGGCCAATTGAGTAAGTGGTTTAGTTGAGACTCCTATATAACTAAGGGTTTATAACTAATTATAATTTACCATCTTCTCTCCCTCCCTCCTGGATTTCTCTCACTCAGTATCTTTTTTTGCTTCACTCTCGTTCGTTAATCAAAGGTGCCGCTGGACCTCTCTTTCAACTCCGTATCGTTTTTGCTTCTTTGTCCACGATAATCAAAGGTAACATTATGCCTTCTCATACACAATCTAGTTTTTCTTCTTTTTTTTAAACATTGTGTAGTTTTTTTCTATTTAGTTAAGAGTTGTGCATCTCGGTCTTTTTAGGATCTTTTTTAAGCTAACAACTATCGTTATTGCAAACTGATTTATATTGTTCTTGGTTGGTAATTAATATGTTTGCAAAGTTCTCTCAAAAAAAGAAAATATTTGCAAAATAATCTATAAGCCTCTTCCAGCTTCATGTGCTACCTCTCATAAGCTTTCTCTCACGCATCTCTCTTGCAGTTTACTTAAAATCCAGCCACTAAATTCTTTCAAGGATACTTTTTTTGGTTAAGAGATTTCACTAAGTTAATTAAAATAATAGTATTGTTTGTTTTGTATTTCGAAGAAAAACTATTTTTCGAATTTTGTGTCGTGAATTTTCATTGATGTTCCCCTTTATGTTGCATATCTACTAGTCACTCTTCCTTGCTTTCCTTTTTTTTTTTTTTTTTTTTAAATGTATGTTAAATATTGTGTAAAGAAATTTATGAGTTTAATTATAATTCATGTGTTGTTTGTACCGTTTAAATTTGTTGCTAAATTGATCATTTTAGGTTGTCTTTTTTTTTTTGTTTTTTTTTTTTGTTGTTGCTAGATTTGTCTAATCGCAGGTTTTTCTTGTATTTAGCCTGTTTCGAGTTTGTATCCGTTTCCAATGTTGGTCCTTAATTGTGTGTGTAAGGATATCTGAGTTTTCTAATATCGAGAAAA